GTAATCATCTTTTATGTGAATACGAATTCACGTAACCATAGATAAACACCATGACGAAAACATAGACAGAGGTGGATTCAACATTCAAAATGTTGAATCATTAAATTTTAATGTGGAACTAAACTAATCAGCTGATATTGATATAAACGTTTAAAACTTTTTTTTTACTATTTATCTGTATAAATACTAGTAAACTGAATTTGTTTGTGTTCGTTTCTATTTTAGTTGGATAGGCCATTGATTGAAGAAAGTTTTAGGCTATACTCGTAAAACATCAAGTTTTACCAACAGTGGAAGATGTAGAAAAGAACGGGAATATTACGGCTTCAGTTGAGTGCAAAAACAGATAAAAAACTAAAAATACGGGAGAAACAATGCAATTCCTCTCAAATGATCTAAGAAATATTTATATAGTGTATGTCTATCTTTTACGATCATTTCGCAAGAACGACAGGACGCCAATAACGTCGTGAGTAACTTGTACAAGCACATATGTTATTATGTACTTAATTCACTTGTAATGATCTAGACTAATACATTTAACATGTTAAAAATATGTTTATATGTACGAACGATTTTATTTTAAAAACAATATTTATTAATTTCTTTGTATTTACCGCTATATATAACTTGACAGCGCAACTTGTTGAATGTTATCTGGTTGAGGCTTCCATCAATTCAATCACAGGCCTGTTTTACCTTCTCTAAGATAACGGTAGTCGCTTTAAGAAATTATTAACTTTTAAAATAATAGGCATATTTTATCACACCGCGAATACGTCCCTGTCGACAATCTCATTAAGTACATTGAATCGCAGGCTTGTCCTCGCGTAAGCCTCAAAGGGATTAGCGGATGTGTTAACGTTGTTCAATTATTTACAAGGATTTCGTGGTTTCACGTTTTCACTACTGATTTATATTTCTTTTTAACGGTGTAACTTACTCTAGCCTTAGGAATTTCCTATATATTTTTTACTAATTTAAACGCAATTTATTTGGGACCCAGTGCTACTGTAAATCTTAATTAAATCCTAAAGAAGAAAAATACGACTGTTGTTGAATAAAAAAAAAATATGTAACTGTCGTATCTGTCAACCATAGAATATATTGCTTCTGAAAAGCAATACATTCAGAAATATTTCCGTGAAGACGTATCGGTAATAAATAAGAAAAGTGTCAATTGACAACCACATTACTATAAATCAAACGGGGCATTTAAAGAACAACGTTGTTCCCTTTCTAAACGCTCCGGAGGGAATAAATGGTTTGCTACAAATGGACACGGTCGCTTTGTGTACGGGTGGGTACTGTTATTCAAAATGTTGTTTGTTAGACATTGACTACACCGCTATCAATATGTATTATAAAAATAGGATATTTTATATTGGATATTACGATAGAAATAATTATAGAAAATAACCTACAACGACGTGAACTTGAATGGGCTATTTTTTTGATTTTTACATTGTACTTTATATTATTTGGTGAAGGAAACCCAAAAAGTAGTATTTCTGAATTCTGATACATATTTGCTTAAATATATAAAATAAAAAATCTAACAATAGTTTTGCGAAGTTACGCTGCAATATTGACGGCTATTGACGTCACGTCCGGACTAGCTATTGGTGTGTGTCAACCATATTATCCACATGTAATTGTACGAAACATTTACATTGATGAACAGTGATTGAAGTAATAAAATAAGTAACAATTTTATTTATTTAATAATGCATAGAATAGAGCTGTTTTAACACTAGGCAGCACGGTGGTTTATAACACATTTTATGAGCAAGTGACGTCATCGCAAACCTGACCATTCAGAAGAGTGATTTTGTGACATGTGACAAATATTTACAAAGGTACAACTTTATTTGCGTATATTTAATTAAATCAATTATTATTTTTAACATATGTCACTGTTTTACTATTTCTAAACGTATAATTAATACCGGTAACAGTAATTGACGCAAATTTTTCGCATTGTCAAGTAGTAGTCAATTATTAGTGTTGCCATAATAATCTTATATCTAATAATAATAAAAATAATGAATTTAAAAGCTGAACATAAAATAAAACAAACTATGAATTAAATTAACTGAATAATAATACTAAGATAAATTATAGAAATGTTTAGGGCTTAAAATTTAACAATGGCAACTCCTAACGGGAGCCACTCAGCAATACATTATGAACATTGTGTTGCAAAACTAATTAATAGATTCATAAGTAACTTATTCTTAAGTAACAACTCATAAATATATTCATTGATAAAATACTTGAAATGGTTTCACATATATAGGTAGGTAGGATATACTTTTAACAGTTTAAAACGCGAAATATATTATTAGGTAACTTATCAACTACGGCCGCTTGATCACGGCTGCTGCTAAAAATCTAAAACGTCGGGCCATATTTGAAAATAAGTTAATTAATATATTTCGCGTTTTAAACTGTTAAAAGTACATCCTACCTAAATATGTGAAATACATATTGTGAATGAGTCCAATTATTTATATCTTAATATATTTATAGTAGGTATATATTCGTTGCATTGTTTATTTCCAACGAAATTAAGCCAATTAATTTTAAAACTCAATTAACCTCAAATTATCTTGTAACTAAAATATTGAAGATTATATTTCTGTTCATGATTTAATTATTTTAAAATAAGTTCTAGAAACTATTATATTAAATTAAACGGTCTAAGTGTTTTAAATTAAGCTTCTCCGCCGTATTAGCTAAATGGTAAAATTTGGGAACTCTGTTGCCTCGAATCCCGGGACCGCAACGATTGTTTCGGTCAAGCCAGGCAAGGAGTCTGATCAACTATTTGCCTGTAAATATAACAGACACAGAAATGTGTTCGCCCCATGAGTCCATTCCCTCACGAGGGAGACGAGATTTTACTTCTTTTCAATTAAGCTTGTTATAATATTTGAAAATATATGGGTACTTGAATGAGCAGTAAATTATTATTATTCGTGGATATATCACGCCTTGAATACCAAGATGGCGAATTCTTAAGCCTTCGTTCCAGCGATCTTGCAGCAGATCGTTTTACGTTAAAACTACGAATGATAAAGGGTCCCTCTTGATACCGAAGAGATTTATTGTTTAAAATCTTTTGTGGAATGGATAAACTTTGTACCTTACTTTCTCGAGAGTTCACGTTAAACCATTTGAAAATTTTAAATCGTTCCTTTGTTTTAACGTTATTTTAGTGTAGTGCAATTTGTTTTTTTATTATAGAGGAGAACAGACAAGCTTGGAATTCACTTGATGATAGATGAAATAGCCCAGTCATATAACATCTAAACACGATGCTTTGCCAACCTATTTTGGCTTTGGAAAGTTGGAAATCCACAGACTGAAACCAAAATGATTAAACTTCTGGCTATTCCACCTGTGGACAGTGGTTAGTGATCCGGACGGAATTTTGATATTCCTACCGCCCATTGAATATGCAGATGTCCGGACGATGTCCAACATTTATCAGAGGAATAATAAATTGATGAATTGGGGCATGGGACAGACATTTTAAATCGACATTTTGTTTAAGTCTAAGAATAGAGTTTTATTTACAGTCAATTAATTCAAACTTTTCTGTCCTGCCTCACTATATGACGGTTTCGTTGGTGTAATGGTAGCGATGTATGGCTATCAACGAGTCTTGGGTTCGATCCCCACGAGGTCCAACATGTTTTCATAACTTATATTAGTTGAAATAAAACGCTTTAACGGTTTAAAACGCGATATATTAGTTAAACTTATTTAAAAATCATTTTCAAATAAGTTTAACTAATATATCGCGTTTTAAACCGTTAAAGTGTTTTATTTAAATGTGTAGGTACTACTCGCATAAACTATAGACAGTATTTAACTTATATTAGTTATCATACTTTCTTATAAATGATTTTTATTTTTTACATGTTATTGCAAATGAAGGTACGATATAATTTAAAAATCAAAAATAAATTGAAAAAAAAAACAGCATGGAATACTGACGATGCCGGTTCGAGTCCTGCTCGAGTCGATTTTTTTTTCAATTTATTTTCGATTTTTAAATTACATATCGAACTATTTATTAAATTCACTGCTTGTCTGTCCTCCTCTCTCTTATAAAACGTAATCATACGAAGTAGCGGGAAGTTATTGAGGTTCTAATTAAGAATTGTATCCAGATAGAGCTAAGCGCTTAGAACCCTAAGAGCTAAAATCAATATTCACGTTGTTGTATAGACCTTATTGTTTAAGCTGGTCAGCGGTAGCACACGTAACCCAATTTTGATAGCGCTTTGAAATTCAAATTTGTAAACGCACATATCGGAGCTTATCTGTACAACCGTTCTCTATTATTTTAAACTCTATAGGTTCATAGATTTGTTACTTTTTTTTGACGAGTACAATTATCTTTATTTCTTTTACTTTTTATAATATTAGAACAATCTTTATATAAGAATATTAAAACAAATTTAAATTGTTCTGTATGTATAATTTTGTTTGAGTATTTAAAGTTCCTACAACGAAGGATAATTTCTCATTCTGTATTATCCTTCGTTTATTATGGTAAACAAAATTATTATGATAAAAGCGCTGACAAAACAAAGGCGAATAAAATTCCACGCAAATCTTATCTTAAATTAAAAATCTATTTAGATTTCAAATTTGGTAGCAGCACGGAAAGCTGTTGATGCCGGTTCACATGTCGCAAGTGTCGTATTTTAGTGCCCCACATATTAATAAATGATCAATTAATACCATTATTAATTTACTGGATTTATACTATGCACGTTTATTTAATTTAATTGATAAAATTAGAATAATATTTACTTACGCCTTATTTTATATATTACGTACTTCAGTAATACATTAGTTTAATGATAAAATAACCTTAATCCACCGGCTTTTTCTATTTATGAATATGTTGTGTGTGCTAATTGAAATTACCTCGTCTACAAATATTAATATAACTGTATTTCGTTGTTTCAGATTGCATCAAAATGGAGGTTCGCTGTATTGGAGCCTTTTACTTAATAATAATATTGGCTTTAGCCTGTGAAATGTCATCCGCTGCTCAATTTAAGGATAGTAAACGACGAACAAAAGGGAAAGGACTAAGAAATATTTGTGACGTCACAGACAGAGATTCAAACGTACATTGTTACTGCGAGAACGCAAAAGAGATGAGAAATGCCACCAAAGCCGAATGCTGGGTTTTCAACGGAGGTATCGCTAAGGAGGACATCGTCTGGCCAAGTTTCGTGTCGCAGCCTTCTCTGCAAACTTTGTCTTTCAACGTCCGCGTAGACGGAGCGTTAGACTACGTGCCGACATCAGCGCTTCAGTACTTACAGAATCTTCGATCTCTAAGTATTAAATATGGGAACATAGTTGAAGTAGGCCCGTTCGCTTTGGCGAATCTAACCAATTTGACTGAAGTGGCGCTGACGCAAAGTCAAATAGTAACATTGCACCAATACGCGTTCGCCCACCTGCCCAATCTCACAACGCTCAATTTAGAGGAGAACACAATACTGGAAATCGGAAAAGATTCGTTCGTCGACGTCCCGAAATTGCAGAAGCTTATTCTAAGCAAAAACAATATCACGGAGATTAGCAACGGAGCTTTCCAGCACACGTTCAATCTCTTGGAATTGGACCTGAACAAAAACAGCATATTCCATCTAGATCGTCACGCGTTTGATGGATTGGCGAACTTGCGGAAATTGGATCTGAGGAAGAATCGTATTTACAATTTGACCGAGTTCACGTTTACCGAGTTGTGGAATTTACAAGAGTTACTTTTGGGGAAGAACGAAATAAAGTACATATCTGCGAGGGCGTTCGACGGTCTGTCCCAGCTGCAAAAGTTGTCCCTTGACGACAATAAACTGGCCCATATCCCCCCGGGCTTGTTCGAAGGCGTGAGAGGTCTCAAGTCGCTCGATCTGCGTTCCAATGAACTCCACGCGTTAACTTTCGACAATATAAAGCCCATATTGGATAATTTGAAACCTCAAAACAGCAATTTGCTACTCGAAGGTAATGAATATTTAGTACCACCTCACATATTCAGTAATGAGTTCGTATAACATTTTGAATGTTTAAGGAGAAGAAATTGAGATACTGCTAAAGTTTAATAAACTCGGAACTTTGCCCGTTTATGACGCCCTTAAGGCAAATCATTTTTTTTATATCTTAAGATAACGAAAATATTTTATTTAAATAAAACGCTTTAACGGTTCAAAACTTGATATATATTAGTTAAACTTATTTGTTTTTTTTACTTCGACCCGACGTTTCGGATGCTTTGCATTTGCAAATAAGTTGAACTAATATAAATCGCGTTTTAAACCGTTAAAATGTTTTATTTAAATGTGTACTACTCGCGTAAACTATAGACATTATTTAAATTATTTTAACTAGGTTCTTTACGCATTTGTAGTGTTTAATTACGAAAAAAAGAGATTTGTTTTTATTACTCATAATATATACCAAACAGAAAAGTTTTAATGATATAAACAGTTTAACTTGGATTGTCCTAAATGTTACAAACTTTCGACTCCCGAGGCCGGCTAAACTTCGGAAGACTGTGTTTTGACATCTGTCATCCTGACGTGATAAAGAATGCCTGAAAACTTTCGTATAAAACTTTAAGACTTGCTAAAATGCTTACTTTTCTACGTTCAGTGCTATTTTATAGCTTCAAATATTTTTTCCAAATAGAGTGAGCAAAAAATATTTATTGCATATTAAATACTAAACATAAGATCGTTAGCGTAAAGTATTCTTGCAGCTTTAAAGAAGAATGTATACCATTTACTAGGCAAGGCAATTTATCTATAGCTAATAACATTTTAGAACTATATAATAATACCGAATATAATATAAATAAGTAACGTAGTATAATAATTAAGAATAAGTTGACCATGTCCCTTTTGACCGAGAAAGAGGAGGCCCAGACATTCTTAGTTGATGAAGGGACAAATATTAAAAAACATATATTCTTAAATACTGTCTGTAGTTTACGCAAGTAGTACACATTAACATAAAACAGTTTAATGGTTTAAAATGCGATATACATTAGTTAAATTTATTTGGAAATTGACATGGTCACAGGTCACTGCGGCAAAGTATTCGAAACGGAAATAAGTTTAACATATATATCGCGTTTTAAACCGGAAAAGCGTTTTATTTTAAATATATTTTTGTTAATTGTAATTTTATTATATTACAGGGAACAACTTCGTCTGTAACTGCCAACTAAAATGGATACATCTATTACGGAACGAGACGAGCAGTCAAAACATTAAAGATTCGTTAGATGGTGTGACCTGCAAAATGGATCCTCCGATTGCAAGCTCAGCATACAACAAAATGTCAGATAACATCAAAATGAACACGAAATTGGAAACGGTGGAAATAATGAAACAGGACGCAACAAACAAAAAACATATTGACGACACAAAGAAGGGCGCTAAAAGGAACCTATTAAAAATTCCACCCGAAACACTGCCGTGCCCAGAAGAAAAAGTGGAGACAACGGAGATGCCGGTCCTGGTAGATCCAGTTATACCGTTGCAAAATGAGATGAAAACGTACAGACTACAGGAGATGAGTTCTGCGCGCGGAACGTTTGTTCCAAGCTTGCTGTGGAGTATTACGTTCATTTTCTTTTTCACTTAAGCACATACATACAATAATAAAACATATATTTACGAATGAGGTAATAGACTTTGAATATTATATGTGTATTATATTAAGCTATGATCTCTTTAGAGTGCCTACTTGGCAGTAGAAAATATTTGTATTAATATTATACTTACACACTTATGGCTTATTTATAATCCGGTGTGTGAAGGTTAAGTAAGGAGTATAAATCAACCCATTTCTTAAACTGATTCTTGATACTTTGTAAATATCTGGGTTTATACAAAAAAATGCTGTTATAATTATCTGTTATCGCAAATAAATAATTTACGTTCCCCTTAACTAAACAAGTGCTCAATTTTACATTGTTGGTGTCTGCATTCCTTTTTTAAACCGATGAGAACTTTTTCTGCTCATACTTATGGGAAATATTATTAGTAAATGCCTAAATATCGCACTTAATTTTTTTCCGATCCAGAATTTTCGTGTTTTTCAATCAAGGGTACTATCCTTAGAATAGTAAATATCCAAGCAGATATACTGAATGGAAATAACGTTATTAAAATTCTAGTCAATGTATGTACTTTTAATGTTTAGAAATATTCTAGTTTATACATAAATTAAGTCTCGTCTTATATTGTTAAGTAATTTTAAAGACATCTTGTAATAAGACCAAGATTTTAGTACTTGCAAAGATACTTTTGTATCATTAAGATTAACATTATTGTGTCAAACATTATGATTAAATATTAATATTATATATATGATTGTCTTCATAATATAACTGAGTAGTTTTTACGAAGAAATTGGTCCCTTGTCACTATGCACGAAATGTATCAGTGGCGTATGTCCATATATTTAGGGAAGGAATATTCCAGAAATTCAAGAGTATATTACAAAATTCCCCCATCTCCCGAAAGTAGTTTATCTACGTCACAGTAAAACACTAATTCGCTCCGTACGTTCAAATTTTAATGTATGTTGCATGGAAAATAAAAAAAAAGTTTTTTTTTTGTAATAAATGTGTACGTTTTTATTCTTCTTTTTTTTCTTATCCTAATTAGAGCTAAAGAAACTACACTAGGTTAAAAATAGAGATAAGAGCTCCTTCTAGACTCCAGCCACTTTTATCACAAAGCACAATCTGGGGTCGGAGTGTGGAGATTGCAGTAATTAATATATCTATTTTATCGCGCAATAGATACAAAGAACTCTTTTCTTTAGTACTGTATCCTTGCAATATATACCAACAATTATAAACCGAACATATATATTGTTTGCAGGTTACAGTTACAGAGTAGATTTAATTTTAAATTTGCTTAATTGGAATAAACTAAACTACAGAAATATTATACATTATCTTTACAAATCAAACTAAGCGATATAAATTTCATATCACTAAATATTTATTTGTACACTTCTTTTACCAAAATAAGCAAATACTATTAACATTTGATAACCATTTTAATAATAACTAGAAACGATTACCTTAAAATTGTTTATGTAATGAAATAAAAACTTTTAAAGGTTCGGTTGCCTCAAGTCCGAGGTCATTATCATACATTTTCATTTTAATTTGCGTTTTAATCTGTTTAAATTGTTATGTTTAATTTTATTATGAAACTCTATATCTTAATAATATATTACTGAACACGCAAATGATGAACGCAAACACCAATCAACAGTGGGCAAATCTTAAACCAATCGCTGATTTATAACTAACTGTAACTAGTTCCTAGCAAGTTTCATCCAGTGGTCTACATCGACTTAGCTAGACACTTTAGCTCCCCAACAGTCTAAACTTGCTCTACAATGTTTAATGCGGTTTTATTGCACTGTGACATTATACTCGTAGCGTTGGTTTGACCGTTGCACTCGCAGCTTGCAATATGACAAGGAAATTTAAATTTAAGCTTAAGTATGAATGCCTAATGTACGCCCACGTCGGGCAATAGTGACGTGGGGAGAGCGGTAACCAAACCACCAGCCCTCTACGATGCTTCGAGAGAGCCCTGGGAACACGTTTGTACAACTCCAAAGCTCCCAGAAGCTTAACGCGTCCTATCTACTACTGTTATATTTTCGCTTGATGTGAGGTATTTTAGCTTCCAACCGAAGGTAAAATACCCCAGCCATATAACATCTAGGTAAGATGCGCTGTTGCCCTATTTTGGCTTTTAGATATTTAGACATCCACACACGCTTATCATCTGTGGACGGTTTGTAGTGACCCGCACGGAATTTCGATATTCCTACCACACAGTTAATGCCCAGATTTCGAGACGAACTCCATGTTTTAAAAAAATATATAATAAATAGAATAAATATATTGAGACATTTTGGACACGGTGGGGAACGAAAGCATGACCCGTTGATTATTATTAGCCGTACATTGCTACCATTACTAAGAATAAGAAGTTCGTCAAAACATACTAATTTTAATTTCAACAATTATGTTAAACATAATAATTTGTGTACGGCTTTCATGGCCTACGTTCAGCATATCATTGTTTTTCGGGCTGTTCGGCCGACGTGAGGGAGAAGAGGTTCTCGACGTTTCGCCCACCCCCGTCCACGAGCGGACGGCATCATCAGGAGATGTTAGCTCCTGGATTGCTCGAAGAAACATAAATATATATGTACCTATTATTGAAGAAAATATTAAAAACCTGTTATTGAAGGAAATATTTACATTAAATGCATTGAATAAAGATTGCGTTTGCATGTAATTCAATCATAATCCGTTCCTGGTCTAAACGAAAATTATTCGAAGCGACGACGCAATGCTAGGAGTGTGCAATCAAGATACGCTGAAAGCTCTGCGCGAAACGTTTGAGCCTTGGCTATACTACTAGTGATGTACTCGTATATATCGATAAAGATTAACGTTAAAGATACTTCCAAAAAAATCCAACATACTGCACTATGTAGATTATATTGAGATGCAGTGTCTGTAATTACATATATTTCTTAATGATCATGACAGATTAAAAAGTACTGTTGTCATATACAAATAAATATTATATACGGTGCAGTAAAAAACAAAGTCCACCCGTTTTACGGTTACAACCAAAAACAAAACTTATTTCATTTGAATTATGTAACAAAAAAAAGTAGACAATTTTCAATTACTTTTAACCCCGCGTATCTGTACGCGGTAAACAATTACATACAACTATGAAGACAGCCCATTCTGTGGCACAAAGGCTCCCAGACTATCTCAATTTGAGCTCAGCACAGCGTAAATAATGATCATACGTGATTGAAATTCGATAATCGACAATCTATAGTCACAACCCTATTAATTTCAAGTTACGAGACCTCTGTGGTGCTAATATCACAGCAAACTAAACTTTCAGTTTTGGAGTTAAAGCACAAGCTTGTTTAAACGTTTGAGACGTGGATTTGCGAACAAGTGCGGTAGATTTGTGTTGGAGAGTGCCAATGGCTGGACTTCAGTATGTAAGGAACTGTATAATTTATCGCTTAATTTTTTTACGTCCACACAACATCCACACAGTCTTACTTAGAAAAAAAAAACTATTAAATCAAGGCACATTGAATTTGAAAAATAGACAAATAAAATATGTATAATTAAATAACTGTTACAACAGTCTTGATGAATATATACTATGTACTTTATTATATTTATAACCTAGAATTACTATATCGTTTAAAAACTTTATTATTTTTTACATGTTATTGCACATGAAGGCATTATATAATTTAAAAATCGAAAATAAATTGAAAAATTTTTCGATTTTTAAATTATATAGAATTACTATACTTCTAAATAACGGCCCTCGCATACATGGCTAGAAATGACTCTGAAGAATAGAGGAGGTTCGCCAGAAGTTAGGAGAACCCAAAGTCGACATAGCTAATTGTCTACGATGTTATATTATTTTGTATGCCAACAATACATACAAATATATTGTTCAAGTTTTGTGTTCGTTATAAAGGCTTTTCTGTAATAAAATTTTAAAGAAGGTGTCGTTTTTTTATAAAAAAAAGACTTTTTAACAGCTTAAAACGCGACATGTATTGGTTAACTAATATAAATATACAAAATGCGAACATATACAATAATATGATTTAAAATTCAAACACTAACCAGTTACATACGTAAGCAGTTAACTCTACTAACGACTCATAAAGTTCGCCGCAGCAAAGTAAAATCGTTCGCATTTATTTTAATTGTCATTGAAAAACTTTTTACCGTTACTCTAGAGACCTCTTGAAAAATTGCTATGCACGTTCATTTTGTAATAAACGTTCTATTGAAGTTTTTAAATATAGAACCAATATTTTAGTCGTATTTTAGAACGGAAAATATTTATGAACTGTCTTTAACGAGACAGCTACGTCGAAACTTCGATATACACTAACAATTAATCATGTTTATTAGAGTGCATATTGCACTAAATATCTACCTCGTGTTCAGTGGCAACGTTGATTTACGTAGTCATTACTTATTGAGACATGTCGGTTTGCACCTACATAACGAGAATAAGGGCATCCGGAAAACAGGGAATTTATTTGAAGAAATTAAATTATAAAAAAAAATGGAATTGTAAAGGTTCTGAAACGTTAGACTTCGTCTGGAAATCTGGATATTAAATGCGGGGTAGGAATATAGATATACCGTCCGGGTCACGATCCGCAGATGATAAAGCCAAAAAGCCTTATTGCATTTTGGTTTCAGTCTGTGCATTTCCGAATATCCAAAGCCAAAATATATATCAAGTGAATGCCATGCTTGGCTGTCCTCCTCCGCCATTAAAAAAGGTTACTCTAATAAGATTAACCATAAATAATTATAAAATCACTTTCGAACTGCACAGAATTTGTCTTTGATGGACTTGATCTACTGGCTAAAAAAACTGGATTTCCAAATTTATTTTTTATCAAAACATACCAGATCCGATGTCTAGACTCTGTGGATATTGCATGGGTGATAGGATTTTCGAGACTCTGTCCGGCTAACAAACTTCCAAATATTGTATATTGGCTTTTTGATTTTAGTATACGTTAAA